TGGCAGGGGTTGGAGCTGGAGGAGCTTTAAGGTCCCTTCAACCCAAACTAGTGTGAGATTCCATGATTCTATGAAATAGGTGGGTGAATATCCAAATGGGGGAGCAGAAAAGAAGACAAGGGGTGTCTCCAGGACTCCTGGTGTCATTTTCCAAGCTGGTTGGGTATTGGAGTGAACCTGTTCCTGCAGCTCTTCTGGTTTTCAGCAACCTTTTAGTGGGATTTGGGGCCATTTCCATGAGGTCCTGCAGGCTGCAATGCTGTGGTCAGTGTTGGGCTGGTGAGGAGCTCTCAGCAGTGGTGTGGGCTCCTGGGAAGATCTCCATATGGTTCAACCTGGGCATGTGTTTTGGGGCCGATCTCAACCCCTCTGACACAGGATGCTCTCGTTGCAGGTGTCCTGTCTCTGTGGCTCTGCACCATGTCTGCTCTGTGGCTGCTGCCCCCCGGCCAAGAACTCCACCTCCCGCCTCATCTTCACCTTCTTCCTCTTCCTCGGCACCCTCGTGTCCATCATTATGATAATCCCTGGTGTGGAGAAGGAGCTGCACAAGGTAAATGTCTCCTGGAGGTTGCTGGGCTTGGTCACCATGGGGAGGAAGTTTAGCTTGTGGGTACATGAGGCTGAATCAGAAAGTGAATTTTTGGGGCATGATGTTGCTTCTGTTCCCTTTTTTCTGAGCATCTCACTGGGAGAGGTACTTCTGACCCTGATTTCCACACAGGGAAGATGCAGTGGGATAATTTCATGCATTAGCATGTTTTCCCAGCTCTCTCCCAGGAAAGTTTCCTACATCCCATTTTTTGGGTTCAACTGGCCAAGTGACTTGCAAGTCACAGAATCATGGAATGGTTTGGGTTGAAGGGACCTTAAAGCTCATCCAGTTCCAACCCCTGCCACAGGCAGGGACACCCTCCCCTAGAGCCGGTTGCTCCAAGCCCCTGTGTCCAACCTGGTCTTGAACACTGCCAGGGATGGGGCAGCCACAGCTTCTCTGGGCACCCTGTGCCAGCACCTCAGCACCCTCCCAGGGAAGAGCTTCTGCCCCAGAGCTCATCTCAATCTCCCCTCTGGCAGGTTAAAGCCATTCTGGGACATCAGATGCAGGGTCTGATGTCTCCAGCTGAGTTAATGTGTCACTCCATTGCTGTCCCTAAGCAAGCCAACCATGTGTTTTATGGGTGGCACTGTAGCAGTCATGGGCATCACCGATGGCACCAGGGTTCGTGGTGGGTGCAGGATGCTGGCATGCTGCTCACCCTCCCCTCACCATTGCAGCTCCCCGGCTTCTGTGAAGGCAGTGGGTCAGTGCTGGGCGTCCAGACCCACGTTGACTGCAGGAGCTTCCTGGGCCTCAAGGCTGTGTACCGCATGGGCTTCGCCATGGCTGCCTTCTTCCTCCTCTTTGCCATCCTCATGGTGTGTGTGCGCAGCAGCAAGGACCCGCGGGCCGCTGTGCAGAATGGGTGAGCTCCTTGTCCCAGGGGAGGGATGCTGTGTGGGGATGGACCAGACCCCCCTTCCCTGGGAGCTGGGTTCCTGCTCCTGATTGTGCCTCCTCTCTCCACCCACAGCTTCTGGTTCTTCAAGTTCCTGGTGCTGGTGGGGATCACGGTGGGGGCCTTCTACATCCCTGATGGTGCCTTCACCTCAGGTGAGGAGCTGCCCCTGCTTTCCTGGCATCTCTGGGTTATCCGTCAGCCAGAGCTGGGCTCAGCATCCCCACTGCTGTGTGCCCCTGTGCCGAAGTCTCCCTTTCCCTGCTCTTTTAACTGGTTTTTCTCCTCTCTCAAGTCTGGTTTTACTTCGGTGTGGTTGGCTCCTTCCTCTTCATCCTCATCCAGCTCCTCCTCCTCATCGACTTCGCCCACTCCTGGAGCCAGCTGTGGCTGCGCAACGCAGGCGAGAGCAACGCCAAGGGCTGGTATGCAGGTCGGTCCCGATGGCACCGTGCAGGGTTTAGGGATGGGGAAGCTCTTCCTGGAGCTGGTGATGTTGAGCTGGTGGGGACGGGGGACTCTGCTCCAGCCCCTCTCCTGTTTGGTTCCTCCCGCAGCCCTCTGCACCGTCACTTTCATCTTCTACGCCATGTCCATTGCTGCCATAGTGCTGCTCTACATCTACTACACGAAGCCTGAGGGCTGCACAGAGGGCAAGGTCCTCATCAGCATCAACGTCATCCTCTGCCTCATCGTCTCTGCTGTGTCCATACTGCCCAAGATCCAGGTTAGGTGACGGGGAGGGCACCTTGGAGGCTGGTGGCCATGTCCCTGTGGGGTACAGAACCAGCTCTGAGCACCCATGGTTGTGTTTGCAGGAGACTCAGCCACACTCAGGGCTGCTGCAGGTGTCCCTCATCACCCTGTACACCATCTACATCACCTGGGCTGCCTTGGCCAACGTACCAAGTAAGCAGGATGCGGCCTTAGTTTGGGAGGGGGATATATGGGGCACCCACTGGGGTGGCTGCTTTGCCCTCCTGGGTCTCTGTGTGCTGGGGAAAGATGCTGAACCCTCTGTATGTCCCCCAAAGTCCAGGCCTGTAACCCCACACTGCTGGTGAGGAACAGCACCAGCTCAGCGACGACCACACAGCCACTGACAACCTGGTGGGATGCCCCGAGCATCGTGGGGCTCATAATCTTCATCCTCTGCACACTCTTCATCAGGTGAGGGCTTGGCTGGTAGCCCTGGAAACTGCATCATCCCTCTGCCTGCCTGGAGCAGAGGGGCACAGGAGGGCTCTTAGGGAATAGGTGATGCTGGAGGGGGAGTCACAACTCAGCATCCCTGAACCTCCTGTCCCTGCAGCATCCGCTCCTCTGACCACCCTGAGGTGAACAAGCTGATGCTGACGGAGGAGAGCGGGGCTGGGGCGGGCAGTGAGGCCGCGGAGCGTGGGGAGCACCGTGCCTATGACAACGAGCAGGATGGCGTGTCCTACAACTACACCTTCTTCCACCTCTGCCTCCTCCTCGCTGCCCTCTACATCATGATGACTCTCACCAACTGGTACAGGTGGGCAGAGCAACCCCTTCCTCTGCGGCCCCTTCTCCTGGTGTCCTCCCCTGCTCCTACACTGGGCAGAGCTGGTTGTTGAGTTGCACGTGTGAGAACCCACCTCATGTGCACCATTACCAGTGTTGATGATGCTTAGTGCTGCTATAGCAGGTTGTGCCTGGGCTCACCAGCTCCTTGCTGCAGCCTGGGATCCCTTGGGAGGTGGGGGGAGCCAGGACCCAGCCCTGGGGGTGCTGTAGCTGCACTGGTGGGGTCACTTGGACAAGCTGTGGCTGCACATGGGGGTTCTCCACTCTCTCCTCCTTGTTGTGTTGCACCCATGGCTTGGTGCTCACAGCATCCATCCCTCCCCAGCGCGGCGGCTGCCTCTGGGGTGGGATGAGCAGGGAGATGCCACCCACTGCAGCTCAGTGATGGGTGCTGCTGCTCTTTGGGATTTCAGGCTGGATGAGAACTTGCAGGTGCTGTCGAGCCCCTGGACCGCCGTGTGGGTGAAGATCTGCTCCAGCTGGGCCGGGCTCCTGCTCTACCTCTGGACCTTGGTGGCTCCGCTGGTGCTGCCGGACCGGGACTTCAGCTGAGGTGGCCCCGGGCATCCTGCTGCTGGCTTAGAGCCATCGTGTCCTCGTCCCTCGAGGCTGGGGCAGCCCCAGCGATGCTGGATTGTGCCTTCTTGAAGGTCTTCTGGTTTCATTTGAAAGTGATGAAGTGCCAAGCACTGAAAATCAGCAAGGGCTGAGGAAGACTTGATGGTTTTGAAGCTCTTCTCATCTCTTATCATGCTTGTCTAGTGCCTTTGGGGGTGCCTCCAACTCCTCCTCTTCTAGCAGACACCCCGCTTTGCCTTAGGAGGGTTTGGTGTCACCAGCTTAATTGGAGCTTCAGGACCATGGTGCCTTTTGGAGGGGGTCTGAGGACCTGCCCTGTGCCAGGACCCAGGACCAGGCTGGTGTTCCCTCCCCAGAGAGCCTGGATGAGAACGGACCTCAGGGATTTGTGGCTGGAGGCAGATGTCCCACTGCATCCCCCAGCCGTGGTGATGGCCCCAGCTCCTCCAGGGCTCTCCTGCCCACCCATCCATGGGAGGATAGTCCCTGCTCCTCACTGGAGCACAGGTTGGGTTTCCTTGGTAATAAAGTCTCGTTTGGAATAAACCCATCAGATGTGTCCTTGTGGGGTCTTTCCTCATGTATATTGGGAGGTGGAGGAAGAGGGGTGGATTAAACAGCCCTGATACCGGGGTGAGGGCACCACTGCTGCCCTGGGGGTGCAGGGCTATCACTGTGTCACAGCATCCTGGAGC